AAGGTTGCGTTCAAGAAATGGCTTGGAAACAAGGAGCATCCTATTCGTGTGCGATATGTCGAGGCACGCACGGCGGCAGCGAAAGCAGAGGCGAAAGCCAAAGCTGATTCCTGGGAGAAGTTCGATGAGGTGTTGGAGTCGAATTTTCACACGGCAAACAGAATATTTTGGCAGACCATCCGTCGGCTTCGAGGTAAAAAGAAGGGCAGTCTCAGAGTCTTGAGGGACAGGTCTGAACACCCTCTTATCAAGGATGGTGACATTCTTTGGTGATGGAGAGAGTGCTTTGAGGAACTCCTTAACCCTGAGCAACCTCAGGAAGTCTAGCCTGTAAAGCATCAGGAAATGGATGTAGATGAAATTACACAAATCCGCCCTGAAATGCTGAAGGCCTTAGGCGAACAAGGCATGTGCTAGCTTACACGTGTATATCAAAATAAAATGACCAAGGGTAAGACACAAGCGGATTGGAGAATGGGAGTTGTACTACCTTTGTTGAAGTAGCACAGGGAGTGCTCGAGTTATCCAGGCATTACCTTTAGCCGCAAAGGTGATAGTTAGTGGGTACCGCGGAATAACTGTCTCTAAGATACTAGAATAGCAGTGTGGCTTCCGGCCCGGCCGAAGCACATCTGATCAAATATTCGCCCTACTCCAGATTGTTGAGAAATCGTGCGAGATCGCCCATTCAGGGTATGTATGCTTTGTGGACCTAAAGAAAACTTGTGACCTAACCCACCGCAAAAGTCTGTGGTCATGCCTACGAGCATACGGGATGGATGGCCAGCTGTTAAGGGCCATCGAATCACTATATTCTGATAGCAGGTGCTGCGTCAGAGTAAATGACCTTAAGTCGAAACTTTTCAAAGTTGGCACTTGTCTCCACCAAAAGTGCGTCCTGTCCGCTCTCCCGGTTGTGTTGTACATGGAGAGAATAGACAGAAGCAGCCAAGGCGATGAGGGCATTTTTGTGGAAGACGTGGAGACTAGAAGGTTCTGTTTGCTGACGACCTTATTTTATTGGTAGTATCTTCTGAAACTGACCTACAGTGTTCTCTGGCAAGGTTCGCAGCTGTGGCAACATGTCC